TCATGATTATAATGTACATACCAAGTTTCAAAGAGATCGGTCGAAAAATGTAGGAGGAGATTGCCGGACAAACAAAAGTTTAGGCCGGATGGACGGACAACCCTATACCATAATACTTCCGTCAAATTTGACGGGTGTATAAAAAGTCAAGTGTAAACATTGAAAACAGAAGTATTTTGCTGGAAGTCTATTCATAATTCTTCCACGTAGTAGGCAACATGTAAATTTTCATTAATTCATCATCGAAGCAAGGAATTATACACTTGAGCACAGAATCTGAGTTTGAGCATGAGAATGGATTCATGAATACGATTTATATGGTTCAGTTTTAAAAAGGTGACGTATCAAGTTCCAACATTGGTCTGAATATTAAGAACAGTTGTTTTTGATTGGTTTGTAATCCCTTAGCTAGTGATGAGGTTGCGGAGGGAGTATAGTGTTTCATAAGTGTGTAGGTTCACATTTTGTCAACACTGCTGTGACTTTAACGCGCACCATAAAATATGCTTGTTGCCAAATGCATTCATAGTACCGTATAGGCCGTCAAAATGCAGGTCAATCTACATCACAAATAATGTTCAAATGCTATACAAAGAAAAGAACATTCAAAGCGGGTTGCTACGATGGTAACTATGGTAGCTGTGGTTGCTGGGATAATATTTTTTTCACATACAACTTAATCTTGATATTACAATACAGATAGTGCATACTCATCTGTAAGTCTATACAATTTATGCAATTTTATGTGTCAATATAACTTTTGATGTATAATTTTTGTCCATTGCTGTCTACTTTTTTTTAATGGAAATATCTGCTGAGATCCTGCTGTAATGCCTGCTGATTTCCTGCTATAATATCTGCTGAGATCCTGCTGTAATGTCTGCTGAGATCCTACTGTAATGCCTGCTGATTTCCTGCTGTAATGCCTGCTGAGATCCTGCTGTAATGTCCACTAAGATCCTGTTGTAATGTCTGATGAGGTCCTGCTGTAATGTAGGCTGAGATCCTACTGTAATGCCGCTGATATCCTGCTGTATTGTCTACCGAGATCATGCTGTAAAGTCTGCTGAAATCCTTTTGTCATGTCTGCTGAAATCATGCTGTAATGTCTGTTGAGATCCTGCTGTAATGTCTTTTGAGATCCTGCTGTAATGTCTACTAAAACCCTGTTGTAATAACTAATATCCTGCTGTAATGCCTGCTGATTTCCTGCTGTAATGTCTGCTGAGATCCTACTGTAATGCCTGCTGATTTCCTGCTGTAATACCTGCTGAGATCCTGCTGTAATGTCCACTAAGATCCTGTTGTAATGTCTGATGAGGTCCTGCTGTAATGCAGGCTGAGATCCTACTGTAATGCCGCTGATATCCTGCTGTATTGTCTACCGAGATCATGCTGTAAAGTCTGCTGAAATCCTTTTGTCATGTCTGCTGAAATCATGCTGTAATATCTGTTGAGATCCTGCTGTAATGTCTTTTGAGATCCTGCTGTAATGTCTACTAAAACCCTGTTGTAATAACTGATATCCTGCTGTAATGCCTGCTGATTTCCTGCTGTAATGTCTGCTGAGATCCTGCTGTAATATCTACTAAAACCATGTTGTAATAATTGATATCCTGCTGTAATGCCTGCTGATTTCCTGCTGTAACGTCTGCTGAGATCCTGCTGTAATGTCTGCTGAGATCCTGCTGTAATGCCTGCTGATTTCCTGCTGTAACGTCTGCTGAGATCCTGCTGTAATGTCCACTAAGATCCTGCTGTAATGTCTACTAAAACCCTGTTGTAATAACTGATATCCTGCTGTAATGCCTGCTGATTTCCTGCTGTAATGTCTGATGAGGTCCTGCTGTAATGTCCACTAAGATCTTATTGTAATGTCTGATGAGGTCCTGCTGTATTGTCTGCTTATTTCCTGCTGTAATATCTACCGAGATCATGCTGTAGCGTCTATTGAAATCCTGCTGTAATAACTGTTATCCTGCTGTACTATCTGCTGAGATCCTGCTGTAGAAGCTGCTAAGCTAATTTAAATTGTTGATACGCTTCAAAGCTGCTGAATATTTATACCCACTTTAATTCTGCTGTAGGTACTACTAATTAATGTATTAACTTTTTATTAGGTTTAAAATACAGCACTGTTTTAGTGGAGTACGGCTGTTATTTAGCAATAGCCTGCCAAAATCTGCTGGAACTAAACTAAATCCGCTATTGTTCAAACCTGGAACTTGAAAAGCAATTCCTTTTCAGCGAGGAAGCACAGTATGATGTTGGAGTAGATTTGGTCCACGGGATTCAGGTTTTTGTACAGAAATGGAGATGGGACTACATTTTTTAAGATGTTACGTAGCCCTTTCACCCCTTTAGATCAAAATGGACTCATCCATATCAATGCATGGTAAAGTCTACTAAAGTTACATAGGGGTGAAAGGGTTAATAGTTATGAGTTATCAAGTCGCTCACTTTCACTCTCTGCACCCCTGGAATATGTCCTAATTGAAGGCACTGACTAGCTATTTGATTGGTTTCGATAAAACACTAAGGTTGAACCCTGTCCTTTGAAGATTGCAGAGAGTGATACCAGACATTCAAAGCCAGTTGATTTCAGTTATGCGACTGAAAGATTCTTTTGATGTACATCAAAGGAGCAAACTGGTCTTCTATTCTCATTCACAAGGTGATGCATACTGAGCCTGACATATTCCATGGGGGCGGTGCATAGAGTGAAAGTGACCATAAGCCCTGGCATATAGAGTATGTCGATTATGGGCATGATAAGCTAGTCTATAAGTTTATTAAATATAAGGCCAAGTATCTTTAATTTTGAAATATTCTCACCAGAGTCTACAGTACTAAATTAGTACCTTTTAGTCTAAGTATCGAGTCTGCATTACTTGGTGGTACCGTTTAAGTCTCATCTGTGTGTTTGAAGGAAAACTCATCCATAGCATCTAATTTGTCTGTAAGGTGTCAATTTATCTGATTTGTTGGCAGCACTTAATTTGTTATTGACATTTATATAAAAAAAAAAATGGCCGACCTTGATCCATCCATGACATCATTTGTCTGTGGCATTTAATTTTTCTTAGGTATAAGTACAATAATAATTCCAGGTTCTTATATACTGCTTTATCACAACCTAGTTTGTAGATCGTCTCGAAGCGGTTCATCCGTGGTTATAGGGCCTTTGCAACAAGCTAATACCTTTCTCAACTCCCTGGGGAGCATACAGCCAAAGCTGCCATTTTGGAGCTCACAGCTAGCATTCAACTATTCTAGCACTGCCCAACCACGTACTCATTTACAGCTGAGTAAACTTGAACAAGCGGAATAAAGTATCTTGCTCAAAGATACAACACAGTGCCGTGCCGTGACTCGAACCCGCAACACTTCGGTCACGAGCCCGGCGTCCTACCACTGGACCGTGTCTCTTTAATTATTTGGTAAGTTGATGTTGTTTGATTTGTAGATTGGTGAGTGACATTATTTGTCCCTGATATTTGCTTTCTTCAAGATTTTTTATGACATACCACGTAATATTTTTCTTTGATGTTTCATGGCTTCTCAATCTTTGTGACACAATTTTGTTAGTGACAACATTTGTCTGTAATTTTTCGATATCTTGGAGACTTGTAAGTAGCATTTGTCCTTAACATCGATTAGGTGTGATGCTTGACTCAAGACATTTGTCAGCCATTTCTTAATTGCAATATTTAATTTCATAGATTTGGCATTGATATTATTTGTGTGATACTTGCTTTCTCCAATACTTTTTCTATATGATGTTTGATGGCTTCTGTCTTTTGAGAAATGTTAATGACGTCTGTCCTTAATGTTAGTCATACATATGGTGCTTGAGATTTGCGAGATTCATCAGACATTATTTGTCTGCAGTATATGATTTCAAAGATTTGTCAGTGATGTTTACTTTCCCAGAGATTTTTTTTACATAATTTTCTTTGGCCTTTGATGGCTTTTCAATTTTTGTGACACAATTTTGTCAGTGATGTTTTTCATCAAAATTAAGTGATTTTTTTTGCTCATTTGCAAAACATTTTTGGAGGCTAAAATTGTATTTACCCCTATTTGCTTTTAACTTATTCACCCCTTAAATTTCATAATTAACTATTCCAACTTCCAACCTTTGAATTGGAAGAGTTAAAATGTGTCTTCAGGGGTGAATGAGATAAAGTAAGTTATTTTGCAGAAACTAGTGATGGATGGATGCTATCCACACTAAAATACATTCTGTCGGAAGTTTTTACTTAAGGATCCCTGTCACACTGCACATACATAGAGTAACCTCCCCTTAATTTCGTTTTTGATTTGATATAACTGTAGCAAAATTGGGCCAGATTACTTCCGTTAACCAGGAAGCTCAATAGGTTGGAGTGATAAAATAACATCCTTAAGCACAAAGGTTCGATTCCGGGGCTAGCCATCTGAATGTTTACGCTCGGAACACTGATGTTGATTATATTGTTATTTCGCATTTATTATTTTTCATAAAAGTCCCGAAAGGTATGTTTTTTCCCCAAGAAATTATTTATCAAAGCTATACTCATGACGAAAAAATAAGTTTCTAATGCGTATGCAATTTTCTGGCAGTGGTACGGTATTAGGAAATGAAAATTGGAAGTCCATGGTGGGCGATAACAGAGTAGAACAAGGGAAATAACTCTTTCAGATTTTGAAAAAGCTCCTTTTCAAATTATTTTTTTTCATTGTAGAAATTATTATTAATCCTAGTATGGTAAACACTTTCTTGTGAAGATATTATTGTTGTCACACATACTTGCTAACTCTCCCTATATTTGAGGAAGACTCCCGATTTTGGGCACTAAAATTGAACATTTTCAACCAGTGGATTTGCTAAACTATTCCTATTTTCAGAGATCTGATGATTTTCATGAAAATATATACATGCCAACTCTCTCACTGTAAATTCATGATGACCGTAAATAAATCCCTATGAAGACGAAAAAGAAACCACAACAACAAAGCTTTGTATTTTTTGGTTTTTATTTGTATTTTTTTGTATAAAATTGAAAGTACAATGTATCAGAAAAAAATCCTCATATCTCATTGTTTTCATGTGCAGAAATTTGCTGAACCCCTTGGTAAAATTACACCACAGAGTAATTAGCTATGAAATAAACAAATGCTGTAGAGCTAGAAATCATGATTTCAAAAGGAAAATATTAACAGAAGTAACTAAAATAAAATCTGTTCACTATTTATTTCTACCTTGCCAATTGTTTTTGCTCTAAGTTTTAAAACCAACTCATCCAGGATTTAATTTGGCTCTCCAGTGTTTTAAAAGTACATAATTAAATATGTCAAATCACACAATATCCCCCTTTTGAATTCACCTTTTTATGTAAGGGGAAAAAGGGCAGAAATACATATATTTTGAAGTAGTATTTCACACTTCAACTTGAGTTCTCAACTTAACTCATTCACCCCTGAAGACACATTTGAACTCTTCCAATTCAAAGTTTGGAATAGTTCATTATGAAATTTCAGGGGTGAATGAGTTCAAGACAGGAACCAGTTGTTATCACAGCTCAAATACCATCATGTATTAATCAAGGAATCTGCCTGATCAGGCCGCTGTTTTTATAGAATCTCCAAACTAGGGTTCACAATATATAGATTACTAGCAACAGGTTGATTTCAAAAGTTCTACGAGCCAACCTGATATCTTAGTAAATATTGAAATTTTTCACTACTGGGGTGTACAATTTTATATAAATTACTAGCCTAGAGGTTGATTTTGAAGTTTTACCAGCCCAACCTAATATTTTCTTCCAAAAATATAATGAATTTTTCACAAACCCCATCATAAACCAACTTGAGCAGAGAAGGATTTTTTCAACTTTCTCTAATGCTTGGTACACATTAAAAAATCTCAGAATTGTTCATCCAGTAATTTTTCTATCTGAATTTTACAACTACCCTTCATGAATTGAGAAAAAGAAGCACTTTTTAGCAGCCTGTATTCACCTGTAAAACTAGGCAAAATGATCCCTGTAATAACTGAGTTTTCATTATAAAGACATGGAATATTTTCTATACCTATTGACCCATTCACCCCTGAAATTTCATGATGAATTATTCCAACCTTTGATTGGAAGAGTATCATCATGAAATTTCAGGGGTGAACGAGTTAAAACATCTGTAATGAGAAAGCTCTGTTAAAGTATATTTATCACAATATATACAATACTACCAACAGATTCAAAAACTCATTTATTTTCAATTTGAATTTGTGTGAATTAATGAATTTCACACAGGAATAACTCACTAATTTTCAGAAACAACTTATATAATACATATAGGATCTTACATGAGTTTCCATTTCATATGAAATGAAAACGAGTGCAAGATCCTTTTTATCACATAATCAAGATTTGTGGCATTTATTCGTGTAAAAGGACAATTTTTATGCAACCTTGAAATGTAAAAAGCTGCCATTTTTACTACAATGAGTAAGACTGTGATGTCATGTACTTGTCCTAGGCGTGATCCAATCACAGGGCTGATAGGTCACATTACAAGGGTTAATATGCAAACAAATATGACATGGGTATATTCACTGGATAACAGTACATTATGTGATAAAGTTTTTTATTTACTTGCTAACCATGAACTTTTTTTCCATCTATATAAATTAAATTCCTGAATTTTATACAGGAATAACTCACTAATTTTCAGAAACAACTTAAACGAGTGTTTTACTTAATTGCGAATCATGAACTTTTTTCCAATCTACATTAATCTATAAAATCTATAAAATTTACAAAACAACCACATACTACCGAATTTGATAGAAAATGACTTAGAAAGCGTAGATAAAACACTTTATACAGTATACACAAACACAGTGTTTCATTTACTTATGAATTGTCAACATTTTATTCAATTTACATAAATCTATAAAATTAATTTATTTTACATACATGTACACACAAAATAAGCAGCACTTCTATCGTCATACAACTCATTCATCTCTTAAAGTCATGATGGTACCTTACCAAATCAAACACTGGGCGAGTCTAGTTTTAACATGTAGGGGTGAATGAGTTAATTAACCGTGTAGAAAATTTGATTTCCTTTATGTTATTTTTTGAAAATCAAAGGAAGCACATCAATATTGTACATGTATCACAAGTTACGAAAATGATTATTTTTACATATTTTACAAGAGCTGAAATCACTCGCATGCAGGTCAACCACAGACTGCGATCTATCCTCTAGGATTTACAGTGATTTTGCTGGCTGTTGAAAAATTCAGGACAATTTGTATTTTAATCAACATACTTTTCAGTAAAGCATGATTCTGTAAAAAAAAAAGATTCACAAAAGATCCATACCATCACTCTTATGGTTATAATTGCACCTTAATAAGTTAAAATTTGTATAATCTTTTAATCATGACATTCCCCCCCCCCATTTGAGCAAATAAACCGGCTGGATCACTTAACCCTTTCACCCCTATGTAACTTTAGTAGACTCAGCCATGCATTTATACGGATTGGTCCATTATGGTCTAAGGTGGTGAAAGGGTTAATTTATCATGCACCTTAAACAGGGATATCTCACAGGATACCCTGTGCTAGATTTTTCTACCTCATTTTATCTTTCTGGCACCTTTACACGACATTTCGCTGAATTTTCACAAAGTGATGTTTTCATCCGTGTGCTAACGGCTCGAAATTGGCAATCTGCATAAAATAATTATGTTTTGCCGTTATATTTATTTGCAGCCCAATACTGGATACTTGTAGACTTGAATGAAATTGAATTGAAATTTTTGAATTAAAACGTGTGAGAAAAAAAATGTTGCAGAATCTTAGCCCTCGACCGAGATAAGCTGATCTTGCTCAGTTAAAGGTAACAGATTTGATTAATATCCTCAGAATGCAGATCTGAATTCTCGTCTCGGAATGGGTTGTTTTTGGATTCATACTTTCTTAGCTAAACTGACTTCTAACACAAGACCACTATAGTAAAATTCCGAGTGAAATCTTCTGTTTTGTAAGTTATCTCCCTTGCCTCCTCGACTTGCTATACCCTGGTAACTGTTTTTCAAGGGAAGTTATATTCCTTGAAAGCTAGACTGCAATACTCAAGTAAGGTTTCCTGAGTGAAATTATCACTCCACAGAGCCCACTTTGCATGGGTTAAGATTTCCGAAGTTAGTTGCCACCATGGCCCATGTTCTTTTTAATCATCTTCCTTCAAGTCAAATGCTTTCCGAGTAAGGTATTATCTCCCTTGCCTACTTGGCCCAGTTTCCCAAGTGGTTTCTTTTGCCACCTCAGCCCCTGATTTTTGAGTTATCGTCCTTGAAGACCAATGTTTTTTGAGTAAAGATGTTATCTCCCTTGTCACCTCAGCCCCTGATTTTTGAGTTATCGTCTTTGAAGACCATGTTTTTTGAGTAAAGATGTTATCTCTTGTCACCTCAGCCCCTGATTTTTGAGTTATCGTCCTTGAAGACCATGTTTTTTGAGTAAAGATGTTATCTCCCTTGTCACCTCAACCCATGTTTTTTGAGTAAAGATGGTATCTCCCTTGCCACCTCAGCCCATGTTTTTTGAGTTATCTTCCTTGAAGACCATGTTTTTTGAGTAAAGATGATATCTCCCTTGCCACCTCAGCCCATGTTTTTTGAGTTATCTTCCTTGAAGACCATGTTTTTTGAGTAAAGATGATATCTCCCTTGCCACCTCAGCCCATGTTTTTTGAGTTATCTTCCTTGAAGACCATGTTTTTTGAGTAAAGATGATATCTCCCTTGCCACCTCAGCCCATGTTTTTTGAGTTATCTTCCTTGAAGACCATGTTTTTTGAGTAAAGATGATATCTCCCTTGCCACCTCAGCCCATGTTTTTTGAGTTATCTTCCTTGAAGACCATGTTTTTTGAGTAAAGATGATATCTCCCTTGCCACCTCAGCCCATGTTTTTTGAGTTATCTTCCTTGAAGACCAATGTTTTTGAGTAAAGGTGTTATCTCCCTTGCCGCCTCAGCTGGCTATATTTGGGTTCATCTTGATGATCCAGTCCACTGTCTCCATCAGTACTACCATGTTATAATGACTGTGAAGTAGAAAGCAGTGTTATAGTGAACCGATGTGTCTTGCATAACCGGAGCAAAACTACTGTATACCGGGAAATGTTCCATCAAGTCAAATATTCGCCATTACCTGTGTACCGCTATTTGTTGTCATGATCAATTCATCCTTATTACGGAGGGTTTTATAACGTTCTGTATGGAACCCAGCTCGGTAGCAGGGGGGAAAAGGCGAAAAATAAAATTGCATCGAAAATTTTCTCGGTATACAGTATTTTCACAAGGCAAGATATTGAAACACCAAATACATTCAATGGGGTATCATCAGTTGCAACAAGGCAAAATATCAATAGACCCCCATATCCAGACAAAACTTCAGTATCGAAAATGTACTAAGGGCTTTAACTCTGCTTATAGTTGGGTACAGAACACAATTTTAGTGTAAAACATCGACAGAGGTACTTCTATACAAAATCTGGCAAATTTGAGCGACAAATATTTATTCCGGAAACAAAATTATTTACAGTAATGAAGGGCAATAACCCTGTAGATAGTACACGACATGACCTGATTAAGGTATGTGAGAATCCGTAATCCCAGGATGTACCCACATACACAATTTGTCAGTTGTAGGCTACAAGGCCTGAATAAAGTGTTTCATGTTACAATGTGAATGTTTCTTTGGCCCTGTAGTTGACCTATACATAGCAACAGTGATCTTGGCAATGACCTTTTGACCCTAAAATACAAAATCATCTGAGATATTCTTATACTTGACTTTTTGTATACACTTTGATGAAATCTGTTAAATAATGAAGTCGGTAGAGTCATGACAATGAATTGGGATGCAATGGGGCAAAACATGAAGGAAATGGGTATTACTGTTCCCCCATCCCAACTAATAGCCCTATTCCATTTAACTTACTTTTAAACACTAATTTTCATTGTTTTTTTTTTATTTATTTTATAAGTAGTTAAAAGTTTGACATAAAGTAATTCTCCATTCGAGTAGGTACTCTTAATCCACGAATCCATGAAATGGTTTTTTTTTCCGGGAAAATAAGACAATTGTGCCCCATGAACATTTCTGATTTCCCAGTAACTCATACTCAAAGATAAAAATCTTCATTCTTTTTTAGATAGTTTGTTTTCGTAACCAAGGCCATGATGTACATTTATTTGAACACTAGGTCATTGAAGATAGGTTTTTAATTACAAGGTAATTGAGGACAGATAGTCAAAGGATGGTGTATGCTTACCTGGCGATGCCTCTGAATGTACAGAGCCTCTTCTCGAAGTCCTTAAGTGCAGCTGTGGTTGTAAAGTCTCCGGCACACTTACAGTACTTCATCATGTTACTCTCTTTCACCTGGGCAACACAAAAACAAACAAATATTGAGCTATGTATGGTGAAAGTTAGGTAAATATCACCTGGGCAACACAAAAACAAACAAATATTAAGCTATGTATGGTGAAAGTTAGGTAAATATCACCTGGGCAACATAAAAACCAACAGAATATTGAGCTATGTATGGCGAAAGTTTGGTAAATATCACCCGGGCAACACAAAAACAAACAAATATTGAGGTATGTTTGGCGAAAGTTCGGTAAATATCACCTGGGCAACATAAAAACCAACGGAATATTGAGCTACATATGGCGAAAGTTAGGTAAATATCACCTTGGCAACACAAAAACCAACGGAATATTGAGCTACATATGGCGAAAGTTAGCTAAATATCACCTGGGCAACACAACAAGAGGCCCAGAGGGCCTGTATCGCTCACCTGTTTCTTTTGTTACGTGAAACTGACATTTAGGTAGCTTAAGACCATTTGGTAACTAAAACACAAGACATTTTAACATCTCTTAAACAGTTCTGATGGTTCTGAAGATATTGTTGTTTAAAACTTAAATTTTAAATTTTAAAGCTTTTAACCAAAGTTGACATTTGAATCCCGATTTGCACTTAAAGTTGACCTTTGACCTCATTACTGTAATGAAGAAAACAATTCACACAGCTGGTCAACATAACAAACCTAAGTATCATGACTAGTCCAAATGGTTCTTAGGATATTGTTGTTTGAAGTTTTTAACATATTTGACCCCTGTGACCTTGAAAGTAGGTCAAGGTAATTTTAATGAGGAAACTTTATAGCACTCCATCCCAGGTACCTACTGGCTAAATATCATGACCCTTGGCCTAATGGAACTTGAGAAGGAGATTGTTAAAGCTTTTAACCAAAGTTGACATTTGACCCCGAGNTACATGGACACCCCCGCCCCTTCCTCGACTCCCAGACTCACCCCCTGACATTTGACACATTTCAGGTCCTGCAGTACATGGACACCCCCGCCCCTCCCTCGACTCCCAGACTCACCCCCTGACATTTGACACATTTCAGGTCCTGCAGTACATGGACACCCCCGCCCCTCCCTCGACTCCCAGACTCACCCCCTGACATTTGACACATTTCAGGTCCTGCAGTACATGGACACCCTCGCCCCTCCCTCGACTCCCAGACTCACCCCCTGACATTTGACACATTTCAGGTCCTGCAGTACATGGACACCCCCGCCCCTCCCTCGACTCCCAGACTCACCCCCTGACATTTGACACATTTCAGGTCCTGCAGTACATGGACACCCTCGCCCCTCCCTCGACTCCCAGACTCACCCCCTGACATTTGACACATTTCAGGTCCTGCAGTACATAAGCCATTGACTTGCGGTTGATGGAGTCGATGAGGCACTGTTCCATCTCTGTCATGTCATAGGCTGCCTTACACTGTACACACGACCACGCCGCACTGTCAAGGGAAAAAAACAACGTAAAAGTGAGAGAAATCTGCGTTCTGACCTTCGTGAAAAAATATTTCACTCATGTAGCAGTAAACAGTTTATGTTTATTTTCAAACTACCCCAAAAAATGTATTTTGTGTTTACAGTTCTAACCCTTTCACCCCTATGTAACTTTAGTAGTCTCTACCATGCATTGATCTGGATGAGTCCATTATGGTCTACAGTGGTGCCTGCTTTCCCCTGATGACAATGAATCTGTTGACAAAATGGTAATGGTTGACATATGAATAGCAACAGTGACCTTGGCATTGACCTTGGGACCCTGGAATATGAACTCAATCATGGTATTCTCACACTTTACCTTGTTCATACCTTGATGAAATCAAAATGGTCGAGTCGGGACAAAATGAATTGATGGATCACCATGGATCGAGATGAAACAAACATGCAAACATGGGTAAACAATTTACTTTTTTACCCCTGAAGACACATTTGAACTCTTCTATTCTAATTCAATAATTAAATGGTTGGAATAGTTCGTTATGAAATTTCAGGGGTGAATGAGTTAATATTATTTTCTGATAATATTTTGTACCAGTATAACCCCTTCCATTTCATGCTAGCTTACTTGGAGTCATTGTGATTGAGGTAGGGATCTCTGCAGAGGTCAAGGTCACGGACATGGTTACACGATTTGCATATGACCTCCGGAAGGACATAGGACAAACAAGGATCAAGGAACTTGGCATCACTGGAGAACTCGCCTACTCCAATCAGCTTGAGAAGGTCTCGCTTCAGCTTGGAGATCTGTAGGGTGATATTACTGTCCAAGGCCAACACCTGGGGGTCAAGGTCAAATAAAGGTCAAGGTCAAGCAGAAGTTTGGAATAACTGTATCTGTATTATCCTTATACAGCTCTGATCTACAAGACTAGTGCTATCTAGCAATTATGTGGCAATTTGAAGTTTAAGAACGTCCCGATAAAGAATGTTTTTTTGGCAAAGTTCACTAAATTTATTGACCTTGTGAAAAATATTTTACCGAAGAAATTTCATCCTCGATACTCCAGGGGTTACCCTCACTTACGTTATCTGCATCCCTGGAAAATGTCATAGCAAATTGATGGCTCAGTGTGCGTCATCCTTTGGATTTGATGTACATCAAAAGAATCTCGGTTGCATAACAGTTAAATTGACTAGATTTGAAGTCAGGTGTCACACTGCTGTAATCTTCAAATTTATATTTTTACCCCAGACCAACCAATCAAATAGCTAGCCATGTGCCTTCAATTTTGCTATGACATATTCCAGGGGTGTAGAGAGCAAAGGTGAGCGTAACCCCTGGAGTATCGAGGATGAAGAAATCGGAGCTTAGGGCAAAGCCTAACCCAAGTAAGTGAATTGAACAATATAGGTCATACCTGCCCTATTTCACGTACTGACATAGTACTACTCCTCAAGATGTTTCCACCTACCGGTTAGTATACAATGTATCTTGACTAGAAACTTTCAATATTTGACAATTCGAACTAAAAGCAAAGTCTTAAAAAAATGTCATATGGGTAGAGCAACAGATAAGAAACTTCATGAAGCCTCCTTCGGCAATTTATTTATTTTTAAAAAAAATCAGGTTCTCTAGACTTAGTTGTGAATTAACAAAGTTGTTCTTCCAGAAAGTAACTGTCATGTATTTAAGTGTCAAAGCCTTACCTGACAGACACACTTGACGAACTCCAGGGCCGGGTTTTTCAGCAGCAGGTGAGAGCCAGGTCTCTGAGGGAACTCTATGGCAGCATTGTTTGTGTTTCCAGCCAGCTTCTTCTGAATTTTCTGCGTAATACTGGATGATAGAGTAATATAGGTAAGGTTGGAGAGGTGCCAAGGTAAGGGTACTGTTTTCTTTTTCTTTTCATGGTTCCAAAATATTGTTTACTTGCTGAAAATTGATCAATTTCGCTGGATTAATTGCTCGCCGATTTCAGTTCCAGCGGTCTTGGCACACAGTGTTGTGGTAAGAATGGATTAATTTCCTTTTTATTTTGCAGGTGTTTATTGCAGAAAAAATGTTTCCGGCGAATATCAAGAATATTAGAAACCCTTAGAAAACACCAACCACTGCAGTAGTTCTGATTACTGGCAAGACTATCTGCCAAGACATAGTTTCTCTTTGTAAATTGATATGGACTTACGCAAACATCTGCTGAGCAAGTTCGCCAGCTATCAGTTCCTGAGAAAATGTCACAGTGGCCGGGGTCGCACTCGTATCCAGAGGTTTCTGTGGCCAATCAAACAGACGGAAACAATGAGTCACAAATGAGATAGATACATAAGTAACATGAATGTTAGAACACTGACAGGTCATTAGGGCCCATGCCAGGCTCTAATAATGGTCTTGTAAAACTTAAGGCCCATGGGGCTCACCTGGCAAATTCAACAAGGGCCGTTCCAAAATTAATATTATGGGAGATGGGGTCGACTTGAGAATTTGTAGGTAAGTAATCTAGGGCTGCAACGATACATTTACATGACCATATGATACGTATCACGATACAATACATATCACAGTAACAGTAGAAGCAAAGTGAAAAGATATGTTGCAAATTTTTGATGGCAAAATTACAACTGGAAAGAGACTTGGTCCAAAATGGACTTGACTTTAAAGTTTCACACAATTCACGTCTTTTGACATGCATGCAGAGCTGGAGCTGTCACTCGCCATGTGGGAACGAATATGAGTGGACTAAATTTGTGACCTCCCAAAAAGTATTGTGTATTTTAACGTATTCAAAATATCGCGATATATGGTCACACGATATATTTATCTATCTATCTACCGTTAATGACCAACTTCAACTAACTGAAGCAATGTCTGTGACTGTGATTAGGAGTTTGACTATGCGTTGACCAGTTACATGACTGACCTGCTGTGTCTGTGAGTTTGACTATGCGTTGACCAGTTACATGACTGACATGCTGTCACTGTGAGTTTGACTATGCGTTGACCAGTTACATGACTGACCTGCTGTCACTGTGAGTTTGACCAGTTACAAAAACTGACCTGCTGTGACTGTGACTGTGAGTTTGACTATGCGTTGACCAGTTACATGACTGACCTGCTGTGACTGTGAGTTTGACTATGTGTTGGCCAGTTACATGACTGACCTGCTGCGACTGTGACTGTGAGTTTGACTATACGTTGACCAGTTACATGACTGACATGCTGTCACTGTGAGTTTGACTATGCGTGGACCAGTTACATGACTGACCTGCTGTCTCTGTGAGTTTGACCAGTTACAAAAACTGACCTGCTGTTACTGTGACTGTGAGTTTGACTATACGTTGACCAGTTACATGACTGACATGCTGCCACTGTGAGTTTGACTATGCGCTGACCAGTTACATGACTGACCTGCGGTGACTGTGAGGTTGACGATGCGTTGACCAGTTACATGACTGACCTGCTGTGACTGTGACTGGGAGTTGTGGCGACGTTTGACCGGCGTGTTCCCTGGCGTGAGTCGCTGGTGTTCCTCCATCACGTTCGTATACACCGACAGTATGTAACCCGCCACTATCATCTGTAATGGAAAATATCAACATACAACATTGGATAGAGCACCCTATCTAGAACTAGAGATTTATAGAAAGTTTCTATAAATCTCTAGTTCTCTCTAGGGGGTACATACACATTTTATTTATGGATTGATTTTGAGCAAGAAGAATCTCTCTCATGGAAATTTCAAGAAGTTGGCAAGTTCGCTCCAGTCATATCAATTTATTGAACTCTTTCAATAAATTAAATATGACACACACACTCATACAAGATCCTCCATTTCCCACACAGGAAATACATATTTACTTACTCGAAGCTAGGAGAAGTACAGTACCCAAAATCACAGGTCATTTCGAAAGAATGCTCGTCTGACAAGGTTATTTTTTTTTAATATTTGTTCCATTTTCCTTCAAGTTTAGATGGACTTACACCAAGAACAACAAAGAAAAGTGAAAAGTGTTTATCTTTGGTAAAGCTTATTGTAATATCTTTTTTCATCCTGACCAATATCATATCGCGATCCAAATGGTTGAACTGGTTGAACCAGACTTGTTCGTTTATGAAATAAGGTCGGACCCAGTATAAAAGTAGTAACCTGATGCTGCTTTCAGGCGAGCCTTGATAAAGCCTTGCAAGGCCTGTGTAATCCTTTACATGTCCGCCAGGATTTAAACCCGAAATGTTGCATTTAAAACGGACAAAACGGTTGAATCGTATTCACGAAAGGGGCCTTTGTACAGATCTTATGACAACAAATCTGACATAGTTCAGATAAAATTTTACCTTCAAATACGTGACATAAATGACTTTGTTATTTAAGGGTCACAAAACACAAAACCACCCACTGTTTACCTATTCTGTGAATGATCTTACATTAAAGTTTGTCTGACACGCTCCAGCTTCCGGTAGGAAATGCATGATATTCCAATTCATCTCAATCTCTGGCTGAAACCGAAAATTTTGAAAGAAATTAATTTTCAAACACAAAAATTAAGTCATATTTGATTCATTTATTGTGTTGTGCAGAAAATGTCAACAAATCAGGGGTGCAGTAAGCTAACTTATTATGCATAATTCTATCTCAACTTTGAACGTAGCCTTTACTAATATAACATATAAACTTAACAAGTTCGATCAGAATCCGGTCATATCAAACTACTGTGCAGAAACTGGAAACTTATCGAAGCTTAATATACATATTAATTATGCACAGACTTCGCCTTAGTCTTTGTTAATTGTACATGGTTAGAAGTTTCATCAAAATCATATGATATTTAAGCACGTTTGTACACGCTTAAGTTTCATCGAAGTATAGGGAATCAAAATGTGGATATTGCTGTTAAGCTGTATACGAACGAACTGAAAGCAGTATACAGTAGATCTTTTCGTAAATAAGATAAATACACAAACCTCCTCCCCCTCATCTGACTTATTAAGCTCCTCCTCCTCCGCCTGTTTTGGCTCCTCATCCTCACTATCTTGTTCCGCCTCTCGGTCGGGGTCGGGTTGGGAACTGTCCGTCGTTGCAGCCGATGGCAGTCTTCCCTTCACTCCCCCGTAATTAGCCTGTGGAGAGAATCATAGTTTAAACTACAATGGGAACTAGTGTGATAACCCTTTCACTGCTGTAGACCATAATGGACTCATCCATATCAATGCATGGTAGAGTCTACTCAAGTGTCAAAGGGGTGAAAGGTTTAAAGTCCTTTCAAGCAGGTAAGGTGTGAAATGAAGACAGTGTCATAAATCTCCCTTACGATGGTCTACAATATAGACATCTCTGAAATCCAAGGGTTGTCGTCTCGCTCGTCTTGTTATACAAATCCCCTTTACACCCTTAACCCTTTCACCAATGCAAACCATAATGGATTCATCCATATCAATGCATGGTAGAGTCTACTGAAGTTACGTAGGGGTGAAAGGGTTAGAATATGTTATGACTAGAGGCATCATGATTCACCACGATGCACTTGTACCACGATTATTTATATTTGTTTCACGATTTTCGATATGTCATGATCTGAATATTAGTATATGCGGATTCAACCAAAACATCCGTAAGATGTTCAATTTTATTGGCTGATCTCTTAACATACAACCAATCAGCAGTGAGGATGCAGTTTTCACAAAGCATTCATAACGAATTGGTAAAGAAATGAAAATCTGTGATGCTCTGGCAAACTTTTTTGGAAACACTACAGGGTTTCATGTATTGACAGCAGAGTCTTCAGAACATAAACTGTTTGCCGGATATGTCTGTGTGTGCGAGACTATAAATCAGACCAAACAACAAACATGGTGACACATCTAAGCAGAGTTCACCGCATAAAATTGGAAGAACGTTTGAAGACCTGCCTGGGAACATTGAAAGGGAATTTAAACCCAGGAATCTCTCAATTTGTTTGTATTTTATCCAATCGAAATAATCAAATCGTTGTACAAAACGAGACACATATCAAATTGCGGGTAATGTGTATCGTGACAGCTCTAGTTATGACAAAATCAAAGACACTTTAGGCGACACCCTGCTGATCATAAAAGTCGACTACTCGGATGTCCTTGATGAAGATCAAAGGAATCATGTGATAGTGTAAAAGTAAACTCAACATTTGAACTTAGAGGAAGCTCTTCTGTAATCTTCAAAGGACAGGTATCAGCCTAGTGATTAGTCTGGTCTATCTACCCAATTAAACAGCCTTCCCCAATCATTAACATTTTTGTCATGACGGCGGGGTCAGCAGTCTAAGGGAGATAACTCTTCGAAAATGTACTAAATACATAGTCTACAGGTCTATATTTTATCAAAAATAATTTTACAAAGAATTATCACATCATTTACAATAACGAAGGACATTTGGGCTTTTCCATAAATAACCATAATGAGAGGGGTGGGAGGCACCTTTTCAGAGACTCACCATCCATCAAATATTAGAAGTGATTATCAGTAATGGTTACACCCCCCNCCCCATTGTATAATAATATGGGTGCCTCCCACCTCCCCCACATGATAAATTATGGAATAGCTATATTTCAATAATAAATGAGCCTTCTAGAGTGATGATGAAATATTTTTATCTAAACGTAAGTGACATTGACCTTAAAACAAAACAACTTTTTCTACATGATAAACGTACTGAACTCATTCCCCCTGAAATGTCACCATGAACTATTCCAACCTTTGAAGGGCATGAATTGGAAGAGTTCAAATGTGTTTTCAGGGGTGAATGAGTTAAATGACATTAGTTGTTGATAGGACTTTAACCCTGTACAACCAACAACTGCATGATAAAATTGGTAAATAAGGCCACTTTCGCGTATCCGGTTCAACCAGTTGAAACGATTAAACCTGTAAAGAAAACGTATCTGAACCGAGGCTGACCTCAGGAATATTCGACATGTGTAGATTGAGGGGTCCAGACATACCTGACTGAAACTAAAATGCTGACTATTGCTTGTTTGTGTTATTTCTTTCTAAAACAATGTCAAGCCACATGTAGTTTTTAAGATATGTGATGTAATTCAGTGGACGAATGACAGAAGGGCATAATATTCTTGATATATCATTATTTGTTCTCCGAAACTGTGCATTTTTAGCTCTGCTTATAGACTGGTACAAGTGTGTTCGTTTATCGTGGAATATTTCTGCGCCACCTGTACAGTTTCAACCGGGATAAGCAAATGTAACCTTAGTCTCAAACTTTAATGATTATTTGTATACTTACTGGATCCAACCAAATAGAGTACTCCCAGCACTGCTCATAGGAGAGTTCAACCAAGTGGAATAACTCTCGGGACTTTATGCTGTTGGTGATATACTCCACGTAGGATAGAGCATCCACCAGGCGGCGCTTCTTTGTACACAGAACAATTCGATTAAAGTTGGCGTACACTATCGTTGATCCAAGGCGTTTGAATTCTGCTATCAACTGTAAAAGGTTTTGGAAGACTTGATTAGAATTATGGACAAAACAACTAATTTTTCCTCAAAAATAACTTATTAAGTAAAGCCTATTTTTTTTTGATTAGGCCAAAAAAAAAAAATCACTTGGTTCTCAGGCGATTTATTTTTTCAAAAGAGATGCGGCAGGGAGGTATTTTTTCCCCTCATTTTACATGGCAAAAATGAGATAAGGGCGATTTTTTTTTATTGTGTAGTTTGTAAAACGTTCATTGTGGGCATTACCTTGTCTAGTTGTGTAGAGACCCGTCATAGAGCAAGCCTCCGAAAATCCCCTACAATGTTCCAGGCGAAAATCACGAACCCCCCCATTCCTTATTTGTACTGAAATGAGTGCCATTTGTACACTAGACTAATAAGTCATAATCATTTTAACGCTTGCCTGTCCTAATCTTCATTCAAACGTTTTCGGGACTTGGGTGACCAACGAGTAAAAGCCACATGCGGACCAATTTTCCGGATTTTTTTAAAGACGGCAGCTGGCGCTTTCAGGATTTTTTTTTTATTACTTCCCAATAAAATCGGAAATGCGGTGCCCTAAAATGAAATGCGTGCGGGCCAAAAAACCAAGTAAATAATTTTTCCAGACTTACACACAAGGGTTCAAATCCTCCAATTTCGTGAATACATAATTGACAATTTAAGAAACTTGTAATTGGTAAGATAAAATATCAACCCTTTCACCCCTATGTAACTTTGGTAGACTCTACCATGCATTGATCCAGATGAATCTATTTTGGTCTGCAGTGGTGAAAGGGTTAAGAAGATCACAGAGCACAGAGAAATAGCACAGTGGAATAAGCTCACCGGCACTAAGTGTGTACCAGGTGAGCTAAAAATGCGTTTACAAACACTATAAATATTCAATATGTCAACATTTTGTGATATTACCTGCATGAAGACTTTTTTCATCATGTTGTGCAGAGTCCTTCTCAGTGCTGGATCGTAGAGCTGAGCTCCGGTGGATCGCAGCCACCTACAGACAACAGAGTAAACATCTATAGTGGAGTATAGACAACAGAGTAAACATCTATAGTGGAGTATAGACAACAGAGTACACATCTATAGTGAAATATAGACAACAGAGTAAACATCTATAGTGGAGTATAGACAACAGAGTAAACATCTATAGTGGAGTATAGACAACAGAGTAAACATCTATAGTGGAATATAGACAACAGAGTAAAAATCTATAGTGAAATTATATCTGTAACACAGCTGAGCTCCAGTGAATCGCTGCTATCAATAATAATATATTCCCGCGGTTCAGAGAATAGCGGAAATTACTTGTCTTATCGGGGTTCGATACAGATGTTACCCAGTGTGCTCAGCCAATCGGATTGGCGCTATATGTAGGATGTGCAATACATGTAAGTGTATCGGGGTACGTGGGTCATTTTTTTAGCCGCCATTCCAGCGCGATGGTCATATTGAATTTTATTAATATATATAATTTGGCAGGGTCAGCAGATTAGTGTAACGTGGATATGGTAGAGTAATCCCAGCAATTTTAAGTTTCGAGCCTTGAAGGGCTGGTCGCATCTCCTGATTTGTCTGGTGTATTTTTCAGATTGGGTGGCTTGCTCTGCTTCCTATTCTCTACTATATCGCAATGATTTTTTCTCTTGTGTATCAAAAGGGGAAAGATACAAATACACGTACAGAATAATATACATGTAGTAATAGTATTAGCACTGCCCAACCACATACCCATTTACAGCTGAGTAGATTGGAACAAGTGGAATAAAGTGCTCTTGCTCAAAGATACAACACAGTGCCATGCCGTGACTCGAACCCGCAACCCTTCGGTCACGAGCCTGACATCCTACCACTCGACTACTGTGCCTCCTAATGTTTTTCCTTTATTTCTAACTTTCAGAACTCGCCTCATCCTTGAAATACGAGGGTTCCACTTTGATAACCATATCTTTTCTGCACCCCTGGTATATGTCATGATAAAATCAAAGGCTCACGGAAGGCTGATTGATTGATTTAAGGTATAAACACCTGACAACTCAATAGGCTGATACCTGTCCTTTGACGATTAGGGACGAGCTGCAACCAAACTCCATTTTAACGTTACGCTGTGTGATTCCTTTGATCATCACAAAAGACATCAGACTTGTCAACTTGTATTGTTTAGGGGATAACCCTACAGTATTTTGATATTTGTGACAGTATAATCACGATATACCGCTGCAAATTTCAAAATACAATAGGCTTATCCCCATTCAGCCAAAACCATGAAAAGAAACGACGATTTTAAGATAGTTTGAGCGTTTTCCTTAAATTCTTGGTCACTCTGCCGTGGATTGGCGACGTCAGGAATATTCAAAGTGAGGTGGAATTACATTGACATTTCGGGTCACGCTATTGTTCCCGACATCATGAATAATCAATTTCATGATGTGTCAGGGTCAGTCGGGGTCATCAACATCATTAACAATCGCCATCTGGGCTTCATATGCAAATGAGACATTTGCGGACTGTATATCGTGGTTATACCGACGCAAATTATTTTGATTGACCAATTAAATGCCGTTTTACATCTCAAATGAATTAGAATGTCCTTTAAAGAGCCCTTGGTTTTGTCATGACATATTCCAGGAGTGATGAGAGATATGAGTACCAAGAAAGGAATCCTTGGACTTTGAGGCTGTGATACCCATGTAGTTTATCACCTAGTGTTTACCATCATATAGCATTGCCACTATATAACCTTACCAAATTATGTTGGCACTCATATAGCCTATGAATGCCATGGACCGATTGTTGACGTCATCATTATCGTGACATAATAATTGTTACGTTGGATACCACTGACCCTCCCTGGGTGATGGCTGTTCTATCTGTTGAACAAGCATACATGATACATACATTATTTGAACTAAATGGTGAACGATAATAGGTGTGACTGAATTTTTCATGAGATGAACAGATTTCAAAACTGGTAAATATAAGTATTGAACTGCTTTCAGTTGGCATTCATAGGCAATATGAATGCCAACTGGACAAAGGCATTCATATTGCCTATGAATGCCAACTGAAAGCAATTCAATGCTCAACCCTTTCACCGCTATGTAACTTTAATAGACTCAACCATGCATTGATCTGGATAAGTCCATTTTGGTCTACAGTGGTGAAAGGGTTAATTGTCCGACACCATGGTATTACCTGTAGAAGTGTATGATCTGGTTGTCTGCGAACACATTTCCGTACATCGTCACGTCCTTGACCCAGCCCTGTACCATACTCTTTAGGATACGGAACGTGGTTGAGCACAGTGCGGTCTCGTCGTAGCTGGCCAGATAGGTGGCAGCACCTTGTCCCTGGACCATGTCCTCCAACGACGACTGCGGCATTGTGTCGAAACTCGCAGCACTCGCTCCCTCCTGGTCATTTACGTGGGATGACTAGAGAAACAGAAACAAAACAAAAGATCCAAGCCATTGCTTTTTATAGTGCTTGAATTTCAATATTGTGGTGTTGATTTTTTGCACAAAACCTTTAATATTAGATTAGATCTTATTAAATCTTTATGTACGGTAATTGCAATGATCCTGGGGTTTAAATTTCTCATAACATCATTAACTTTGAATAATCTTTACTAACATTCTATCATATGGACAACAAATTTGTTGTGTTTGTATTTCACTTTTATCCCCAAGCCAGGTAAGGAATGTAGCAAAAATGTCACCCCTGAGACATGTAACTTAACAAAAGTAGACAGTTATAAGAAGGAAAGATGCTTCATTTAAGAGAATGTGGTTCAAACTCCACCAACACAAAGGGTTAGGTACCTGGGTGTGTTAGGTTGGGGCCTTAAGAGTGCTGGGGTGCAGAGGCGGCAGCACTACCTCTAAAATTATGTTGAAAGCCACACTAGCGAAATATAACTCCATACAAACACAAGGGTAAGTACCCAGTTTTCTTGAGGGTGTAGAGTGGTGGGGGTGTAGAGTGGTGGTGGGGGTGTAGAGTGTTGGGGTGTAGAGAGGTGGGGGTGTAGAGTGGTGGTGGG